AAAATGTCATTTGATAGGGCCAGCTCCATGGCCTGGTGGTTAAGGCAGCTAAACCCCACGTGACCAACCATGCAGTTCGAGTGCTGGACCTGGCAACTTGAGAATCATGCTGGATGTGTGTGTATGCATGTGTGTGTGTGTGTGTGTGTGTGTGTGTGTGTGTGTGCGCCAAAAACTATAAAAGGAAGGAGAGAGAGAAGAGAGAAGGGACTGTGTTGTGACCATTCTCCATGAGGGATGCTTTCTCCTCTCCCTCTCTCTCTGTCTCTCTCTGGTGAGCACACATGTCCTCTAACCAAAAAAACTCATTTGACAAAGTTAACTTTTCAAATGAGTATGCTGGCAGATTTAAAAAAGAAAAAAAAACTTTCTTATAAGAGTGATCATTTTTTCACAGAGCTTAGTTTCAAACATAACTAAAAATAATAAAAATAATAAATCAAAAAAGTATTTGTGTATAACCATTACAGGTGAAAAAAACAGCAAAAAGTAAACAATTTATAATTTGTTGGGCCATAAATTGAGATTTTTATTTATAAATAACATCCATTAAGGTATTTTCAGAACTTGAACTTGTTACAGAATATTTCAGAATACTAAAGGAGGCCCAGAAATGGTGGCACAGGCAGTAGGGGTACTGCTGTGTGATGCAAAGCTGGAGGTTATATAGGAAGGCTACAGGTTCGTGTCCCAGACCTACCATGACATACTGGCTACAAGGCTGCAGGGAGGGTCATGGTGCAAAGTCTTTGTTGAGGGTGCTTCTTTCTCTCTTCCTCTATCTCAGGAAATAAGTATCCCTCTCCTTCCCTGTCTCTCAGGAAGTAAATAAATTTTTAAAAGTAATACTAAAGGAAAATAGAACTTAAGATTCTAAAACTAGTTGTCTCTGATTTAAGAAGACTCTAAAATGGATAAGAAAAATCTGAGCCAGATCCTTGTGGTAACAGGAATAACATTTACTTATTTTTATCTGTGTTACTAGGAGAATTGTTTTAGACTAAATCATCTAAATCATTGCCATTTTTAACATTAAAGCCTTTAAATATTTCAGAACATACTAGAATATGACACTAATTATTCTCCCAGTTGGTTACAGAAAAACAAATCCGCAAAATTATTCCCGTTACTTAATCTAAGATAACTATTTAAGAAATGAGTACTGCAGGAAGCTTAAAGTGATGTCCAGCTTTTTTTGACATACATAGGAATAAATTTTAAACACCATCTGACTGTGACTGAACCTGTCAAGTTACAGCGATGTGTTAACCACAGATGTCCATGGTAAGAAGGCAATATTTCATCTGCTCCAAGGGATGTTAAAGAAGAATTTCTTTTCTAGAAGTGAAAAAAGAATGTTAAACAGAAGAGACACGTGAAAAAAAGATAAAGACCCTTGTCCTTGGGGCCAGCAGATGGCATGGTGGTTGAGGTCCTGGGCTCCTGAATGGCTGACTACAGTTCAAGTCCCAGACCTTGTGGCTTGCTCTCTCACTTTCTCTCTCTGTGTGTCTCTGTCTCTCTCTGCTGAGCACATGTGCCCTCTAGCAAATTTTTAAAACAACAATAATAATAATGATGATATATTAAATAAAGAATTTTTTAAAATTAGAACTGGTCCTTGAAATAAAGGCACCATTAATAGGGAGAACAAGGGGTTGGCAAGTGATGTGGTGGTTAAGGCACTGTACTCCCACATGATCAACTGTGGTTCGAGTCCTGGATCTGGTGGCTTGAGAATTATGCCAGGTGCATAAGTGTGTGTCCAGGATCCCAGGAGGATAATGGAGGAGAAGGGATTGAGGTGTGGCTATCCTCCCTTGGGGGGTTATTTCTCACTTTCCCTCTCCCTGTCTCTCTCCTACAAGCACACATACCCCATGGCAAAAAAAGGGGGGAGGGGGGAACAATATTACTCATTTATTGCTGCTTCAAACTATTATCTCTTATTGCTGGAAATAACACATTACCGACCACAGTTGGAGTCCCGAACCTTGTGGCTTGCTTTCTCACTTTCCTCTCTCTCACTCTGTCCCTTTCTGATCAAATAAAATAAATTTAAGAATAAATAAATAAGGCTAAATAATTTTTTTTCTTTTTTTTTCCTTTTTTTTGGAGAGGTTTTTGCTATAGGGCGTGTGCGCTCGCCAGACAGACAGAG